TTTCTTTCTTTTTCCTCCCTTCTTTATTTCTTTCCCTTTTCCACTCTCAGTTGGTATGTAGACTGGTACAGCCACTATGGAAACCAGTTTGGAGATTCCACAGAAAACAAGGATTAGAAGTCCATTTGACCCAGCTATTCCCCTCTTGGGTACCTTTCCAGAAGAACTGAAAGCATCATACCATAGCGATACATGTGCACCCATGTTTATAGCAGCACAGTTTGCCACAGCTAAATCTCGGAAACAATTCAAATGCCCATCAATTGAGGAGTGAATAAAAAGAGGTATTTTTATACAATGGAGTATTACTCAGCTATAAACAAAAGAAAAACTCGAGGCTTTTATAGGTAAATGGATGCAACTAGAGACCATACTAAAAAAAAAATAGGTGAAATAAATCAGACACACATGTGCAAACATCATTTTGTCTCCCTAGCATAAGAACCTGAAACAGTCAATAATGCAAAAGGTATAATTGATACTGCGAAAGGGAAAGAAATTGGTCAAAGGGAAGGAATGGCTAGGGTGAGGGAGTGCAACCTTTTTCTTTAACTGAGCCTTTAGCCAAGTCACCCACTACCTTTGTACCTCAGATTCTTCAGCGCTACTCTCCACTGGCATGGTATTTACTAGCTGTTTGTGCTACTCACGTAATTTTCACTAAATTAAATGAATGCTTTGTGCTAAACAGAGTTCAATATACTCCACATGTGCTAATTTTTAAAAATCCAAATAAATATCTCTGTCAATTGACTTTTCTTCATACATCAGTTGAAGTTATCTCCTAGTGTGGCCTCAGCAAAGATCTCCTCCAGCATCGGTTCTCAAGGACGAATGGAATAACATGTTTCCTCTACTCTGGGCTGTTGGCTAAACCTAATCAAGATGAAAATGCTTTATTTTTCCTGAAATAAATAGTGCTAATGAAATCCAGAATTAATCAGTTGCCTCTCATATCAGAATTTAGGAAAGCTATTTCATATTTTTATATTGCACTACTCTATTATAAAATCTGTGTGCAGTTCCTGAGTGATCTGAAATATGGTTATTTTCCCCACATATGAATTGTAAAACTACCATTATTTAGTATTATTGTGGAAAAAAAAGTAAAATTATTGACTGGAACATTATTGACTAGGAAATATT